TTAATTATGTATAGCCACGTGAAAGACCACGCCTACATAAAAACGACTTCTATATATAGAATAAATACTCACCCTTTAGATGCTCATCTTTAGCAAAAAAAAGTATTTTACAGACATCATGGTAAGCTCGTGAAGCTTTTTGAGTACCAATGAACTAAGAGGATAACAAATGACTCTTGGTGACTCATTTCATTGAGGGTATTGTGACCCGAGTAAGGTGATAGTTAAAGTTATGTTTTGGCAAACAAACTGTTGTCTTTATCAATTAAATTATTGGCTTCTGATTGGCTAGAATCCTTTCTTTTCCAATTTCTGGTTACGAAATTTTTCTACGATTGAGATCATTATCTGAAGTCTAATCGATCCAATATATGACAAACCAGGCTGTTTTCGGATTCCTCTTCCAACGTAATGATAAATACGAGAATCTCATATCTCAAAGTCCAATAAAAAGAGCATAAAGTAAACTAAGAATACTCAAAATATGCTGCTGATTATGAAGTGATCGAAAATCCAAAATGGCTTCCTCTGCAAACAACGTGCGTGGATTCTTCCAGTGACGTCACTTGGCGAGTACAATGGATTCCATGGTTACGGGAATTACCCAAAACGATGAGAAGCGTTATCCGAAAAATGCGAAATCTAGCCACCTCGATAGCTCTCCACGAGCTAAAAATGACTCCTATGTATAGACTAGATGATCACCCACTAGATGTGTATTTTTACGACAGACCACAGATCTACATATATATGACTCATATTTATATTAAAGACTGATTATCTTCAGGGATTGTCTTTAAAAACCATCTTTAATTATGAATAGCCAATGAGTCACCACGCCTACTTAACAAGCACCCTTTCAAAACTTAAAGAGACATTTAATTATTGGCCCAGTTTGGCCCTAATACTTTTTGATTAAAGATAGCTACGCCTAATACTTCACGTCCACTTTGGAGATCGCAACGAGCATTATATTTAAGATAACGTCTAATTACAAGGGCCAACGCCGAGATGCTTCTATAGACAACGATCCTGTATTTGAAATATCCTTAGTATTTTTCGAGAGATTGAGTTGAAATAGATAATAAAATGAAGAGATCTCGTAAAGCACTTTGTCAAACACCGCAAATTTTTTAGCATATACAAAAAGTCATACATATATATATGTTATACATTTATATATACCATAGTGCCTATTTGGAGCAAACTGCCAATTAATCTTCAAAGAGAAAGCAAATAAGGCCAGATATGGTCTATTAGAATACTTAGCTGTTGGGCGCCTAGCCTCTAGTAATTGATTTTGTGATAGCGACGAAAGGTAATTATAAAAAGATTTAGCTATTTAGTTCACGTTTTTATACTTTTGCTTGAATGGTTTCTCATCTTAGACCACATGTCATTCACGTAGATATTATCTTATTTTGCAAAGAGACAAACATTTTGGATATAAAATGGAAATGTAAATCGTCTTAAAACTCAGAAACTTGATCCAAAGATGTTTACATCAAAGAACATGAAATCAAAAGTAATAACATTTTGATTCTAAAATCGCCTGATAGAATTGTTTTGGTCGTTGAAATCTCTTGAAAAAAATATAAAATGGAAGATCTGAACTACGCTTCAGTCAAGAACATTTATCACAGAAAAAAAATTCCAAACTTGAAAAAACGTAATTTCGACATCTTTAATAACTACCCAAACACAAAAACACCTTAATATAAAATAGGTTTAGGTTCTTAATCTAAAGTTTTATAGAGGTCAGGTCATTTTTTATATGTGTATGTATGTATACATACACTTATTTCAATAAAGTTAGTCACCTGAAAAGCTATAAAGCTGAGGCCGACCAGGATTATGGGTRGATTCATTTTACACGTTCAATCGCTTGATAACTGTTCATGGACTTGCGAATCTTTTACCGGTTACAGTCTCACCTCTTCTGAGCATCATCGAGCTGAAGTTTGTATTAAAAAAGCTTTGTATATAGATTCTTTTTTTATATGAAAAGTTTCCCATGATGCTCAGTGATCTCAGCTTCCTAGGTTTTTGGTGACTAACTTTATTGAAATAAGTATAAATTTCACTGTTTCTTTAACATTTCACATAATTTTTCACAGACGGCAATGAATTTTCGAATTTAAAGCACTCTTTTCTAATAATAATAGTACAAATATTGTTCTCGCAAAATTAAGGCACATGTAACGCTATTATATATTTTCAAAAAGCAAATAAAATCAAAGGCTTATTATATTACTTTTTCCTCTGTTGCACCTAGTAGGTCAATGTTTTTTACTTAACGCCAACGCGCATTGTAAATTATAGCATACCCATTTCTTTGCTAATTTTGGTATTTTGAAAACACTTTAATTAGCGATCGGGTAGTGACTAAGATTGTGTCAAATTAATTCGTACGTATACGATCAATTGTCTTATTTTATATAAATCAGAATGTTAACGTTTGAATCTAGTGTTGAGCTCAACTTGGGCGGAAACACTTTGTATGCTTAGGGAACTGGGAAGACTCGAGAAGTGGAAAGAAACAGGTTGAATCCGGTAGAAAAGAAGACTTTGCACGGACAAAGAAGGTCAGTTATACTGAACGAAGGTATATTGTAGAGTGTTTGTAGAGTTTATTTCTTGTTCTCAAGGGAAAGAATTTTCTAAAAGAAAAGTTTGAAGAAAAATTTTCGAGAGAGTAAAACTGAGTTCTTATCCTCGTTCTCCTTACTCTTCTCTCAGTTACAACTGAGAAAATAACAACAATCTCGTTTAACTAAGATCCGGGTTTTCAAATTTCAATTTCAGTGTTCAAATAAACAGATCTTTACAAGCGCATATATGTCAACCGAAAAAACAAATTGCAACCAATTAAGAAT